GGTGCCGGTACACAACAACTGAGCTCTGCGCATTGGCGGACGTGGTGGCTTCTCTGGGCATGGCTTCTCATCCTGCCCGCTGCAGGGAGATGTGAGAAGTGCGAGAGGAAACTTCGACCAACACGGAAATTATACACGGGCGAGTCCATGTTTGTCTGTTTGTGTTCATTCCCGCCAAGCCTTGTTTTGTGAGCTGCCGCTTGATGTGCGCCATCTTTTATGGCCAAACATAAAACAACGTGAACGGCGTGGGTCAAGTCTAGGAGCCCTTGGACAATTTGAGGGTCAACAGGTCGATCCCTTGAACATAAGAGGACAACTTGAAAGCTTACAACCCCCAAGGGGGCAAGGATATCAAAGAGCAAACCCTGAACTGCAATTAACTGCAGCAGCGCCAGAAGCCCTTGTCTTTTGCTTCTACCCGAATGGACAGTAGAAGGTTTGTGTGTGAGATTAGGTGTGGTCCAAATACAACCAGGTCGTAGAACCATTTAGTACTAAACAAAGTAGAACCTTAGTAAAATGGCGCAACTTGTGCAAGTGTCTCTTGGGCGCACATGAATCGCACCTGCGGCATGTCTTTCTTGGCAACGTGCAAGGGCCTCAGCTCCCAAAGATCCGTCCAGCGCACATGAAACATGTCGTTGAGATACATCACCTCAAGTGGTGCCAACCACATGGTGTCTTTAGCCTTTTTGGAGTTGGTACCCCTTTTTTGAACCATTATTGAATGGGCACCAAAGAGAATCCAACCATTTTGGAATTACTCCGCTTGGATAGAAACGCTCGACCTTGGCAAAGAACCCAGCCCTATGCGAGCAAGAAAGCAACCAAGTCTGAAGATCCGCATCGCACACGCCCCCCGGCCAAGTCCCTACCCCGCTGAGCCGTCGGCTTGAACAGCTCTCTTACTCGACTTTCGATCGTCAACAGCTGCCTCGACACACAAGCAATGAGGCGGAAGCCAAAGAAGAGCTGATTTCGACACTTTTGCTGCGTGGTGAAGCAAGAAGCGTCATGGCCTGGCAAGTAGTGATGAAGCTCCAAGTGCTAGAGAATTGCACATCTTGGAGCATGTCAAACTTACTACAGGTGTCAAACTTATTGCAGGTGAAGGGTAGGCACTTCAACACGGTATACACAGCTCGTCAATTATTGTAGCAATAGGTATTGACTCTCACACAAGCAACTTACCAGTGCCTTCCAATGGGAATATCTGCTCTATGTTTGAAGCTGAAAGTGAGCCAAACGAATAGACTAGCTGTCAAGCAGTCAAACAAACAGCTGTGGGATTCCGACGAAAGTAATCAAGCACATATAATACAAAAAGCAAGCAAGCAAGACAAGCAAGCAAGACAAGCAAGCAAGCAGGCAGGCAGGCAGGCAGGCATGCAGGCAAGGCCAAAACAAAGAAATATCAAGCAACAGAAGCATAAAACGAAAGAAATAAAGAAAGAACCAAAGAAAGAAAGAAATAAAGAAATAAAGAAAGAACGAAAGAAAGAAAGAAAAGAAAGAACGACAGAAAAAAAAGAAGAAGAAAAAAAAACATAACAAAATAAAGCCACAGCTGCATTATTAGACAAACAAACAACACACAAACGAAATAACAACAACGATAGACATTACGATGCCAGGCATAAACAAGACACAAATACCGAAATAAACAATAAAAACGATGACAAGTAAAACATAACATAAATACACAAAAAAAACGCAACGCAAATGCAACAACACATATATGCCAAAAAAACAATACCTACAACAATAAATAAATGAAATGAAATAACTAAAGGCTAAATGCATAACATAATACATATCAATACAACAACAACATACATAACCAACTAAGGAACAACCATCATAATCATAACATATAAATACGGACATCACTTAAACAAGTTAAATCAAACATAAAACAACCAGTATAAAGAAATACGCAAATACACATTCATAACGAACAAAACTCATATAAATGAAACACACATAACACAAGAAACAAACAGGTCAAAGACGAGCAAGCCAGCAAGTAGCCAAAGAGATGCCAAAGAGCAAGCCAGCCAGCTATCAAGCAAGCAATGAAGCAAAAGAGGCAACTAAAAGCCAGTTGGACGGCGCGCCGGCCAGCTAGCCAGCACAGTCCCAAAAACGTAGGCAAGCAAAGCGAAGCAAAGCAATGAAACGCAACAACAGGCACCACATGTAAGTTCATAATAACACAAAACATAATGTCACGAAAGGCTAAGACAAACAAACAAAGCAACGCAACCGGAACAAAACTAACATTGAAATACCGGCAGTGACACCTGAAACAACAATCAAAGAACCAAGAACAAACACACACCCACACACACACACACATCTGGCAAGAAACCGAGTCACATAGCAGTCAAGCAACCATTTGGGTGAATTATCATTCGCAGGCTAAAAACCAGACATGGACTCACAACTCGCTTCCAAACATAAGACCCAGTAGAAATTCATTCACCTGTTGGAGCCTTCACTTGATCGAACCTGGGCGGATACAAGGTCATTTGAGCTCAGTCTTGGGCCCAAAGGACCTGAAAGTACAAGGTTCACCTTTGTGGACCCATGAAGCAAATCAGGAAAACAAAAAGCACAGGTCGCTCCGCTTTAGGCAACTGGCAAAAAAAGACGAGTCGATGCTTGGTGTCAGGCTCCTTGAGCTTGGCGGCCCCTTCTGGGGGAGGCCAGGCGCGCTCAAAGTCCTCGAGCGTTCGGGCGGGTCCCGATCGTAGCACCCCTGGGAGTTGGATCTTCTACTCACCTCCGATTACCACCGATTTGTTGGTCTTCCCCGTTTAGAGACACACAATGGTGCCGGGGGGGGGGGGGAGGGGGGGAACAAATTGTGCAACACGGGGAGAAAGGTGCGTTTCCCTGAAAATTACAGACCCCTTTAGCCGAAGCACCCATCTTCTAATGACATAAGCGAGGACAGTCTCAGTGGCCCCTCTTGCAATATTCGAGGCTTTTGGGCTGAGCCGAATATGTCATGTCCCCCGATTTGGATTGACATCTGATTCCATCTGATGGTTCATTCAAGATAAGTTAGACATAGGCAAACATGCGCGTAGTAAGTGCACTTTTCGCCTGCGTTTCTCCGCTGCACAAATGATCCTCTCCAACTTTGAAGCGTGAAAGTCAAGTTGCTGCATCCCAGGCTTCGCTTGTGTAAATCAGTCTCAACAGGAATCCTTATATTATACACCTGAACATTGCCTTGTAAATGGTGGTGTCCCTTTATTTTGGTGGAAAAAGCCATGTTTCAAATGGGCAAAATGTATCTTTTAAGGAGCATCTTGTCATCTTCCACGCTCCATTCTTCACGCGGCGAGCGTGTGTCTCAAAGCTCAATACCTGCGCAGTGCACAAGCACAAGCACAACCAGCAAGGCTCTGAACGACTGAAGCTGGGTTGGTCCTTGCGTACCGCTTCAAACCTATGGAAGTAGAAGTTAAAACTATTAAACACACAGTTACACAACAACCACTAAGTTACAAAAAGTGAATGATTAGGACGCTCGATATGGAACAAGTCTGTTTGACTGCCTTCGAACAATCAAGAACGCTTCTTTGCTAGGACGAGCCCTTTTTGCACGAGTTGAAAAGGCGCAAGGCAGGATAGAATAAAGCAACCAAGGAATGACCAATCAACACGATAGCCAGCATCACCGTCCAAAGCATCATCATCATCATCAACATCATCATCATCATCATCAGCAGCAGCAGCAGCAGCATCAGAATCCTCATTGTTGTCCTCATTATCGTCAGCAGTATCTCATTGTCATCATCGTCATCGTCATATCGTCGTATCATCATATCATCTCAAAGCGATCGAACCCCATCCTCATCCCGATTTTGTGACTAAAGTGGAAACCAAAACAGGCCTCTCACAGAAAGCGGTAATCTAAAACCAACCACATTCCACAACCATGGCCTCCACAATCCTCCACATGCCACGCAGAACATCCACTGTCAATGGACATCTGCAGCACTCGTAGCAAAAAGGGCCCAGCACCACCAACAAAAACTCATGGGCCGCGATCACAGCTTGGAGCCCTCCAGAAGCCAAGACGCCGCGCAACGTGTCGCCAAAACGGCTGGGCCACTTGTTACATCATGGGCGCACAGCAACGACCAGGCCAATTGCTGTCACTCCGCGTGCTAAGTATTTCTTTTCACAGCTCGCAAACTCATTGACCTCCGGTTCTAGAAACGTGGTTACAAAATTTGTACCGGCCTCATAGAGCCACTCTTAGAATGCAATGGCGAAAAGGTGTTTGGGGTGTTGGTCATGTGCTTCTGCATATCTTGGGTCTAGCATTTAACAGGTGAGATAGGTGCCAGGATCAAACGTTGCTTTCAAGATTCTTCACCATGCATCTATGCGTTGGCAGTCGCCCTTGGCTCCGAAAACAAGGCTCCAAACCACTTCGAAAGGGCAGAGAGGACATCCTTTTCATGGTTTGACGCTCTTGAGCTAGACAGCAACACATACTACTGTTGCCGTCAGGCCACAAGCAGAACCCCGGACCGGCCTCTTCAAGAACCCAAGATGCGGACATTCGCGGAGTCTGGAATTGAGGATGCAGTAAAACTGCACGTGGTTGCCACATTGCCTCTGAGCGTTCGCCGGCGAACGGCAAAAGATGTTGAGCACCGAGTCAAAACAATTGCAAGACGCCCTGATGCATCAGGAAATGAGTTGAGGATATTTCCCTCGGTATGGCTGATGCCCCAGCACTCATTCCCTGATTGAAACATGAGCCGGACTGAGTGAGACCCAAAGCACTTGACAGTGCCAATCCCACTCGCCAGCAGGGAACTCTGCAAATCTCGCCCTTTCCAGGCAGATATACATTGAATTCACCCTTCAAAACGGTTGTTTGGCCGCCACAGGGCGCGGATTCAAAAAGATGCGACACCGTGCCTTTCGGGGCGCGGGATCCGCGGAACTTTTTTTTCGCAGGATCGTTCTCACTTCATGGGTCTCTCCAGCAAAGGACTCGCAGCCGGATGCTCCGCCTCACGCGTCTCGGCGAGCTGTCAGAGAACGCAAACCCAGTGACCTGCAGACCCACAGGTCCCGAACATGAACATCCAGAAACCAGAAGCCTGACAAAGGCTCCGCCCCGCAAGTTCAGGAAAGGCTCACCTTTTCGAAAAGGCCAAAAGGCCAAAAGGTCAGGATTTTCAGACACTTTTGGGTTATCAGCTTCTCGCCAAACAGCTTTTTGATTTGTTTGTTCCTTTGAGGACAGGGATGGAAGACCCTAAGTCTTGGTGCCATTGCACTTTCCACCAGCTCACACGTTTGCTTTCTGCGGATAAAACCAAAGCTCCGGGCCCCAAATCCAATGAACGCACAGGGAGGTTGCAAAAGGATCGTCTCCCTCCCCACGGGGTTCTAGTACGTACTTGCTTGCCACCAAAGGTAACAAAAGCCGGGATACATAAACCTCCTGAATTTGACAATTGAATGCATTTGGGGGTAGGCAAAGAACAACTTGCTAAGGGGTGGGGTCAGCCATGAACAAGCAACTGAGAGGTACAAAATTCGGAGGTACAGGGCTCACCTTTCACGGCCTGCACCGAGCTCAATCATGGCCTGAGTTCTGGGATTCTTGTCTCATTCCGTCAAAGGCCAGCCGAAATACCTTCCCTACAACGGCCTGCAAAGGAACCCCCTTTCTGAAAGGAAAGCATTGGTCTTCGAAAGGGGTCAAATCACACCACCAGGTTGGAAACGGATGGATCCTTCTGTTTTGCATCCGGACTCCCGTACCCGAGATCGCGGCCAGCTCATCCAGGATGGAATTCAGGGTTGCCAAAGACTGGCATGCCACCTTCACCTCGAGTGCGCTGCTTTTCCGCGGCCTCTGGGAGAATGTCCAGTACCGAACTTGAGGGCGAGCAAACATGTGGCGGAGTGAAGCCCCCATGGTCCCCTGGGAGGCGAACCGCTTGGAGGGGCCCGCGGAACCCATGAGAAGAACCACGGATCTGAGCTGTCTGCGTCCCGGGATCGGAAGGGTCAAGCAATCATCGACGGGTAGCATTGCATGCGTACCAAAATGCTACCACCAGAAACCGCATCAAAGGCTACCGCTGGGTATGGAGACTAGCTAGCGCATTTCGAAGTGAGCAGTGCCAAGACCCGTTGACTTTTGGTGCTACCAAAGTGCTTACTTATAAGGGCTTATATACGCCAAACTCTAGCTTGTCTGCAGCCAGTTTCTATCAAGACCAATTGAAACTTTGCGAGGTGCTTGGTCCTGCTTGCTGCTTGGTTGGCGCGGTAACAAACTTGGTCGCACACCCTCTACCATTGCCAGGCCCCTTGACCCCGAAAGCAGGGAGCGGTAAAGGATTGGTGAGAAGTCGGTGACCCACGTTACCCACGGAAGTGATGATGCACAGGTGTGGGAAACGCAACTCAATCACGGCCGAATACTTTAGCGTCTTCCATTCCAGAATCGCAGCTATGTCAAAACGTGACCTCAATGAGCGGCAGAAGTTCATAAGCCATGTTTCGCTTGATCTCAAAGGCTGGGGATCAGCACGAATCAAACTTGGTTGACGTTGAAAGGGGAGCAACATTTAAGTTTTAGCAGTTAAGTGGGGATGTCCCACTAAACCACAATAAGCAAAAATATAAAATGTTTCCCAACAACAACCATGCAAAAGGCACTGGCGATCTCTTAACTTGGTCGTGCCTCTTAGGGCCTCTCCGAGACTCGCACCTGCCGAAGCTCGCATCCTGGTCGACATCTGGAGCTCAGCGCCTCCAAATGCTTCTGCAGCCTGGGAAACACGTGAGGTCATGGCAGTGGCTTCCTAGAAACTCCGATGGTTGTCTAAATCGCCTACTTATTTAGTGTTGACCGAACATGAAACACACACAAGCATCTGCACAACTTGCTCAAACCGAACCCCCACACACACACACACACACACAGAGACACAGAGACACAGAGACACAGAGACACAGAGACACAGAGACACACAGAGACACACAGAGACACACAGAGACACACAGAGACACACAGAGACACACAGAGACACACAGAGACACACAGAGACACACAGAGACACACAGAGACACACAGAGACACACAGAGACACACAGAGACACACAGAGACACACAGAGACACACAGAGACACACAGAGACACACAGAGACACACAGAGACACACAGAGACACACAGAGACACACAGAGACACACAGA